CACTGTTGTAGTACATATGTAGCATCAGCTCAGATTACATACAGATAAAGGTTAATTAAATATAGCTGAGTGTTTTTCCAGTATTATTACATAGCATCACATAAATCAACTTAGAAGGAGAATAAGCATTCATTACATTTCCTTCTTCTTCAGTCTGCTTATCAGTCTTAAGATATTTTCAAGCATTGATTGACGTTCCAGTTTGGAACCGAACACATCAGTTCATACAATGTTCACATTCACAATACTAAGCATGAAAACTTACAAGTGGAAAAAATGATAGTTTTCCACAGACTGAGGTGACATCTGGTTTTGTCTGACCAAAAGTCCCAGCACAGTGGCACACAATGTGTAATAAACTGTCTATTACTTACTGTCAATATGCATTGTGTGGCAGAAAAACTCATCGAATCCACATCTTTGAGTGGCTGCAAACAAATATTTGACATTTTTGCTTCAAGAACAACTTGCAGGTTGGCAACCTTAGTGAATAAATGTAAAGAATTGGAATAATTTGATTTTTACCACAAAGTAAAAAAGCCTGGTCATAAGATTGCTGTAGTAATTATGTATGTGAACTAGCTTAGTATATTGTTATGTATATTTCTAATTCCCCCTTCCGTTTAATTTTCTGCCAGATGAGTCGCTGTCCTCGCAGGAAAAGCCATCAGGGATGAAAGACGTGATCGTTTCCATAGACACCAGCAAAGACTCTGATGCAGATTCCTCTAAGCCATCCTCTAAGGCCACCAGCCTCCAGAACAGCCCAGCAGTCCAGAAAGGTTAGCTATCATCAGTATGACTACATAAAATCCTTCTCTGTAATCCAGGTGCGGTAGTGTTTACATTGACGTCTGCGTTTGTATTTTTGGTTTTGCATTGCAAGCCTTGTGTTTTTCTACATTCCTCATGTCACTATTTAAGTTTTCTTCTTTCAGTGGCCTTCCTTATTCTGCATACACAAACACAAGCATACATATGCACTGCCCTGAGACCCACAGCTCCAGCTTCCCCACTGTGTATATGTTTTGGGCTGTGTGTGCGTGTGTCCCCTGTTAGCGTATGAGAGAGAGACTAATTCAGCTCAAACAGGCGTACAATTGTTTCCAGATTGGAGGAGTAATGAACGTTCCCAGTTGCAGCCTGAGCACTGGGCTACTTTCAACCTGGCTTCATGAAAGCTGTTTGGTTTGTTTGTTTTCTTTAAAGAAGTGAAGAGAGATGACAAAAATCTGTCTGCTCTTTTGCTCTTTCCCCACAGCCCCCAGCTGGTCGTGGCAGGTGGCTGCTTTCCCCCAACTCTAGCTCTGCTCTTGGCCTTTTCCTTTTTGTTTTTTTTTGCCCCACCTCAACAACCAAGTGCTCTCTCATAGGGGGTTGTTGAATTGTTTAGATTGTTTCTAATATTGGAGAGTCTGTAGCTATATAGCATAGCACCTTGAACTGGTATTGGGTTCTCATTGCCACAAATATATTAAGTATTAGATACTTAGATGGCATATATTATAGTATTAGATGATGGT